GGCTGGGGGTGAGGCCTCAGGTGCCCCGGCCCGGGTTGGGGGTGCAGCCTGAAGTTCCCTGTCAAGCCCCATTGGCTAGGGGAGCACAGCCTCAGGTCCCCCACCCCAGCCTGGTGCAACGCAGCCTCAGGTCCCTGCTGATCACTCGTTATGGCTCATTATGGAAACCCTGCCTCCGCTGTGGGCGCAGCCATCTTGTGATGGCATGACGGAGGGTCAGTTTGCATATTACCTCTTTATTATATAGGATATGGATATATATATATAAAATTTCAGAGAGGAAGGGAGAGAGAGAGAGAAACATCAATGATGAGAGAGAATCATTAATCAGCTGCCTCCTGCATGCCCCCTACTGAGGATTGAGCCCACAACCCGGGTATGTGCCCTGACCAGGAATCAAACTGTGTTCATAGATACACACTCAACCAGTGATCCACACCAGCCAAGTCATATTACTCTTTTTATTCAAGTGGTTGGTTTAGTTTAAGACTTCTATTGTTATTCAAACATATGTTAAATTGAATCTGTCTACTAATTTATTTATTCAGTAAACTTCTATCTGATCCCTAGTGTTCAAGTTACTATATAAAGTGTGGAATGATACATAGATGAATATGAAGTTCATTCATTTTATGTATATGTATTAAACGCCTATTAGGAATGAGGTATTCTGCTAAGGGTTGGTGATACAGTCTGACTGAAACACAGGTTTTGGCTCCAAAGACATCAGTTTAGTGAAGGAAGGTCAATTAATCAAACAACAGGACAGTTCAGGGTGGGATGAGTTATAATTGGGATAAACATGAGACTCCAAGGGAGCACATTGGAGTGGTACCTAATCTCATGGGAGACTTCCTGGAGGAGGTGACATTTAAGACAATCAAATAATTTTAGTAATTGCCTAAATCATGAAGGAAAGTTTTGGAGGATTGGAAAAGATTTTATTCGTATACTAGTGGCCCAGTGCCCAGATTTGTGCACATTGAAAGGAAGTTAATTAGAAGAAATATTTTAATATTGCTATTCACCCTTTCTCTATAATAGAAGTGTCAGAGATGAAAGAGAACTAGTAAAATGTATATGAAAAATAATATATGAATATATATAACAACAATGACATGATGTAAAAGCAAAAGACATGATGTAAAAACAACAAAAACATGATATAAAAACATGATATAACTTGTTTCTCTGAACAAGTTAATTGATAAAAACAATGACTGATAAATTGATTAAACTTATTCCAATATCTCCCTATATACCACATTAACAGTAAAAACACTCTTAATACATTCTGTCGACGACGCTGGCTTCTTTCAGCTTCAGAGGTACGTTGTGCCAATAGTTGGTCTTCAGATATATTCTGTTGACGACACTGCTTTCTTTTAGCTTCAGAATGTCAACCAAAAAACAACCAAATTCATGATCAACAATGGCAGATCGAAACGCACGCGTATGCTTGGCACCAGCGAGAGCTTTATATGTATTGAGCATGCGTGAGTCAATGTTTATTTTTAAGTTGCCAGTGTGCGTCATATGTACCAGTCATGGGACGGACGGACAGGTGGATGGTCGGTCACTTAGCCTTTTATGTATATAGACTAGAGGCCCGATGCATGAAATTTGTGCAAGAGTAGGCCTTCCTTACCCCAGCTGCCGGCACCGGCTTCCCTCTGGCACCTGGCACCCAGGCTTCCTGCCCACCAGCCACAGCCCGCCGATTAGTGGCCTCTGCGAGGCAATCATGGGGCAATGCCCGAACCCCTGACAAATCGCATTGCACCCGCCTTGGCTGGCCTGGCGCCAGTGTGTCATAGCATGGTCGTCCGGAAGGTCGTTCAGTCTAATTAGCATATTATGCTTTTATTATTATAGATATTTTTTGTGATGCATTGCAATAAATGATGAGATTCACACTAATGATTGTTCTTGATTGTTTGTTTTAAGATTTTGGTTTCTTTAAAATTTGGTTGTCCTTGTCCTAGCTGGTTTGGCTCAGTGGATAGAGTGTTGGCCCATGTACTGAAAGGTCCTGGGTTTGATTCCAGTCAGGGGCACATACCTCCGTTGCAGGCTCGATTGGGGTGTGTGTGGGAGGCAACCAATCAATGTGTCTCTCTCACATCGATGTTTCTCTCCCTCCCTCCCATTCTCTCTAAAAATCAATGGAAAAATATCCTCGGGTGAGGATTAACAACAATAAAAAAACTAAAACAATATTTGGTTGTCCTTAAAAATTATATCATTTAGCACCTTTTCACTAAACCAGACATTTTCAGGTCATAATCCTATCTGGGTTTGAAAAGAATTTTTTCCTCTGGGCACCACACTGTTACCCATGACAGGCCTGTGTTCAAAGGCATCTCGACTTTATATGGCTCCAATATCATCAACTGAACCAATTTACATAGCATTGGTTAGGTCATATTTTTAGATTTTATTTTCTGAACAAGTTAATTTAAATCAGCCACTTTTGCTTAATTAGAGTGACCAATTTGAAATACTTCTTTCAGAGCTTTAGTTAGCCTTGCTAACATTGCAAGACATTTTTCCTCACTGGAAACAAAGCTTGAAATTTTAGATCAAGTATTGGCAAATTATTTTGTTAAATTCATGCTGTGAATGGAGACCTCCTGAAGCTGAAAAAGGGATGCACATGGACACAGAGAAGCTAATTAACTCTTAACCCTGTGGGTGTCATACCGACGCTGTCCATTGGAAGCCTTGCCATCTTGGTGTTTGTTTGTTTTCTTTCTCTCTTCCTACCATCCTCCACCCCCCATGCCTGTGATTTTCCAGTTGAGAAGTTCATTAAATATTTTCTATTTTTCTCTATCCTGATATGCTTCACACTGCCACAGTAGTCAATTCCTTTCCTTTTGAGATTAAAGCAGTGTGTTGCAATCAAAAGAACAGATCTCTAAAATAGGGTTCTCAAAAGATATAAAATTAAAATATTGTGGAGTTGAGGTACAGAAATTATTATATGATGTGCACAAAAATGTCCACATAAGTTGGGATACCTTCTCGATGTCTATTTTAAAATGCTCCAGTAGACAACAGGTGACAATATAGGGAAATATCTTGTTTTTGTCTCTACTCAAAGTAAGTAATTGTAGTCTGCTGTTTTTCCCCCTGCAGGTCATCTGAATTGTGGTTACCCTGAGTTTTCTATATTTGTCAAATTCATTTCCATGTCATAGATGGTTTATTGTATATCAGCTGCAGAATAAGCTAGAGAGTTTGGTCTGCTGGAACTGAGTGAAGGATGGGGTATAGCAGCAGGTTTTGCTTCTTTGAAGGAAACCCAGAGAAATCTCAGTAATTCGAAGCCTAAATGTTCTAGAGACTTATGTCTCAGGAGACTTAGCTCCTCATCCTCTTATCTATCTTCCAGTTCCTGTATTATTCTAAAACTAAAGCATTTTTTGACTCAGATTATATAAAGTAATATGTCTAATAGTTCTAATACAAGAAAATTTGTCATCACAGTTGAAAACATGTTTACCATCCAAATATCTATAATAATAAAAGCCTAAAATGCTAATTAGACCGGATAGCCAAATGACCTTCTGGACATCATTCTGGACATCCTTCTGGATGAAGCCACGGCGGCAGGGGCTGAGGCAGAGGCAGTTAGGGATAATCAGGCAGGCAGGCGAGCAGTTAGGGGTGATCAGGCAGGCAGGCAGAGTGGTCAGGGACGATCAGGCAGGCAGGCAGGCAAGCAGTTAGGAGCCAATGGTCCTTTTTGTTCTGTGTGAAAGATTTTTTGTCTGCTTGCTCTTTATGGTCAATAATGTATTTTCCAACCATTCTTTCTTTTACTTAGCTCTGATTGGTATTTTAAATTTTAATGTCAAGAATTAACTTTTTTTAAAAATTAAATTTATTGGGGTGACATTGGTTAATATGAAAGGTTTCAGGTGTGGGTTTCTATGTTACAAGATCTGTATATTGTACTGTGTGCACATCACCCGAAATCAAAACTCCCGTTACCATATATTAGGACCCTCTTCACCCCCCATCACCTTTCCTCCAGCAACCACCACACTGCTGTTTGTGCTCATGGATTTCAGTTTTATGTCCCACATATGAGTGAAATCATATGGTTCTTAGCTTTTTCTGACTGACTTATTTCACTTAGCATAATATTCTCAAGGTCCATCCATGAGTAGTATTCCATTGTGTATATGTACCACATCTTCTTTATCCGGTCCTCTGTCACAGGACACTTTGGTTGTTTCCGTGTCTTGGCCACCATGAATAATGCTGCAGTGAACATAGGGGTGCATATATCTTTGTGAATACTTGTTTTCGAGTATATTTTCCTGATCCCAGTTATTTTTCATGCTAACACTGTGTTTAAAGGTATTATCTCATACCCAGGAGTGATAATCAAAATATTTAACAATTAATATGGTCTGGTCAGTGAGCAGTGAGAACACACACTGGCTATCAATACTTAGTGTGATTGTATCAGAGTGTACTGGTGTATTAGCCTTACATACAATTATCGGTGCCTTACACATTCCTGGTCACTTTCGTATCCATTGTCATTTGATCTGGGGGTGGGGGTGGGGATATAGTGTCATTCTCCTTTTGCAATTTGAGGCAATCACATAAAGCCCAGAGAAGTTAAACACAGGGACCCTTAGAAGTTTCCATCTTTTACAGGGAAAAGGAAGAGAGTCGCCATTATTTATAGGACAAATATCAGCTCCTTTTAGAGAAAACTCATAGTAGATGGTGGATAGAATGAGCAATCCCCATCCCCTGATATCTTCCTGCCCCAAGCTAATTCTTCACTTTCAAGGTCCCTTGCAGGAGATGCCTGCCCTAGAAGAGTGAAACTGACTCAAGCAACTGAGAAAATTTTCCCAAATGAAAGAACCGACTCAGCTTCTTTTCTCCATGTTCACAGGGACATTAAGTACAAAGCCTTATTTTAAAAGTATATTTTTGTAACTGCTTGTTTTTCCCCTCTCTTCCTTCCACAGAATGGCCTCCCCTCAGGGTATAACCCATATGTTTTTAATGGTGATTTTGTAGATCGAGGAAAATATTCCATTGAGATCTTAATGATCCTGTTTGTGAGTTTTCTTCTCTTTGGCGATGACCTGTGCTTGAACAGAGGAAACCATGAAGATTTTTTGATGAATATGAGGTAACCTAGGCCTTTATATTTCCTCTTTTGTTTCCCATTTTATAAAATTCCATCATATTTAGTTCCTAGCAAAGAGTTAGAGGTGAGTGTAGAGAAGCAGGGATGAGGGGAATCTCAATTCTTATCCCTGTTTACAAGCCCCAGTCTTCTACTGAGTGCGTATGCATTATTCTGAAGTCCTCTTTCAGTCTTTTTTTCTACCTCTGTTCTTCCTTCTCCCTTCTGTTATGTTCTTATCCTCCCAGGCCCACCCTTCACAGTCCATATCATGTGCAGGGTAGATGTGTTAGGCCAGGTTTGGAGGTGTCCTTGAGCAGGCTTAGATGGAATCATTCTGTTGCTACCCTTTTGGCTTGTGTCATGTGTTATTTCAGAAACTAGGACTGTATTTTTCACTGATATTTTTTATGACATGATAATTGCTTTTGGCACAGTTGTTCATAAACATATTTGAGAACAGCTGTAACATACCATTTCAACTATCTGACTCACTGGAAATTTGAAGAATACAGATTGGTTAAATGGTTTACCAGTTTATGCTAAAAGGCCCAATGGGTGGTAGATGTTCCCTTTTCCCTTCTTTCTTCTTATTCCCCCTCCCTCCTCCTCTTCTACTTCCTCTCCTCTTCCTCCTCCTTTTCTTTTTCTTTTTTTGTTTCTTGTTTTATGAAAAACAGGAACCAGTTTTCCCTAGGGGAGTAGAAGACATGGCGTGTTTTATGTTTTTGGTCCTGGGCTTTTGGGTGCCTTGATCAATGCTCAGCAACTTATTAGTTTTGTCTTTTGGGCAGTTTTGGCACCTGACCAGAGTACAGAGTTTAAATTCTAATTCTTAGGTATGGAAGCAAATGCTGAGACTATGAAAAAAAAATTCCAAGACAAGAAAAAAATCAGAGGCCCATTAATATGTAATATAGCTCAATACTTTTATTTGGGCATGCCATTTATCCTTTCATTTATTAATTTAGCCAATCATATTTATCCAATGCTGCAATGTTTAATGAAAGAGACATGGTCCCTACCCTCATAGAGTTTACATCTAGCAGGCAAGACACATATTGAGCAGGATTTTCAAGTGTGGTGAGTTTGTAAAGTGGGGAATCCAATCTGGCTGAGAGGTGACAGAGGTTCTCTCACAGAAGTATGGTGTTAGTCTGAGCCCTGAAGAATGAATTAGGAAATCAAGAAAAGGCCATGGTGTTTCACAGTGAGGGGACAACTTATGCAGAACTTAAGACTTTTTAGACTTGAAAGAAGTTTAGGGGGGTAGGAGCATAGACTGATGGACAGGATGGTGTCTGATAGAGTTGGAGACATAAATGGTTGGATCATGCAAAGGAATTTGGATTTTCTTTTAGGGACAACAGAAATTCATTGGAGATTATCATAAATTTGTGTTTTTAAATATAGCAGGAAGAGTAAATTTGGAGACGGGCAAGAGTACCTGTATATATGAAGAGGTCAATTAAGTAGTTGAAGAGTACATGATGGATTCTCACTTACACTAGGGTGGTGGGGATGGAGATGCAAAGGAGTAGATAAAATCAAGAGGAGTTCTGGGAATGATGATTTAATGCTTGGTGGGTATGAGGGACTTGAAAGAGGAGATAATCAAGGGTGGACTCTAGGTTCTTGCCTTGAGTTTGGGGGTACATATCATTTACCGATATTGGGAACATGAAGAGGAGAAAGTTGGGATGAGAGAGAATGATGAGTTCAGTTTGGGGAAAGCTAATCTGAGATGCTTTGAGTAGGAAGTTGAGTATACATGTCCAGAGCTCAGAAATGAAGTGTGGGCTGGAATATTGTCCTGTAGTATTGGCATGTAAATAGTAACTGAAACCTTGGACAAGAATGACATTGCCAAGGGAGAAAGTGAAGGGGCAGAATCTGAAGGAACTCCCAATGTTTAAGGCAAGATAGAGGAGAACTTGCAAAGGAGATTCCCAATAGCTAGAAAGGTAGGAGGAAAACCAGGAGAGTTTACTTTCACACAATCCAAGAGAAAAAACGTTTTCCAGGACTATGTAGTCAACTGTATTTAGTGTTTCAGAAAAAGCAAGAAAGATGGGGACTGCCAAGTGTTCATTAGAGTTAAGAACATGGAAACCTTTGGTGAGTACAAGACTGAAATAATCTCAGAAAACAACATGTTATACTATAGAAGACTGACATATTATTTGCATAGAAACCTGGAGTATGTTGTGATCCAACTTCACTGTGTTGGGTACTAAGAGTATATGTATACTATTATGCTAAGGCAAGGAAAAGTAATTGAAGAAAATTCCCATCATTAAATCTCCCTTAGTGACTGTTAATTCAGGCTCTAAAATTCCTGACACTTTCTATTAAAACCTTTAATACATAATATGAAGTATATCCGAGAGACTATAAAGAGCCAACTTGTTTATCTTCTAGGTTTTTCTTAGTCTTTCTTCAGTCTTTTTTTCTCTCCATATCATTCATTTACTGTAAGATATAGGTGGTCTGAGAAATTCTATGTAACTAAAAGCATTCTCCCACACAGCTTTCCCCAGCTGCCATGGCACTCTTCTCTGAGTACTTGAAGCATTAACACAAACTATGCTTACCACATATTTTTAAAGTTGCTTGTGATTGTTTCACAAAAATGTATCTTCTTTCCCCAACTATACTACAAGCTCCTTGAGTATAGGGATAAAAGTTTTGGCTGCTTTTGTTCTTTCCCATCATGCCTAGCAAACACTTGGGTAAATAATAATCAGTTCCAACTAAAGACTAGTTTCTTAAGTTGCTGACATTGGTGATAGTGAGATGTCAAGGCCTTCCTTTTTTTGCATGGCTCACATAAGTAGGAGTTATCAACATTTAATTAAATAGTTTTAATCCTCCCCCCCTTTTTTCCAGGTATGGCTTCACAAAAGAAGTCTTGAGCAAATATAAGGTAAGACTCATACTTTAAAAAAAATTCTCTTTGCTGTCTACACATAGAAGTAAAAAAAAAAGAGCCTTCAGGAAGGGTGATGGGTGAACTAGTCAGAATCTATATGAATAAAAGCACAGAAGGAAGCCCTAGCCATGGCAGAGGCTTAATTTTCTTCCTGGACTAAAGCAAGCTTTTCCAATGTGACTTTTGTACATTTCAGCATAGATACAAACATATTCCATTGTTTTAAAGGTACCTGGGATTTGTTTTACTCAGGTGTGGTAAAACATGCAAACAAGAACATAGCTGTACTAAAGGAAAGGCTTTTAATAAGTTATCAGGAAACAGGAGGCGCAGCACATCACACTGGGGGGCCACGTGGGGAAGCACCAAGGTTAGGCAGAAGGCAGAGGGAATGAGAGAGAGAGTGTGTTTATTGTATTTTTCCCGGGAAGGAATGGGGAAAGCAGTGCAAACAGAATTAGGATTGGCTAGTTTGAGTAATTTCAGCCCCATAAAGGAGGTGGTTGGGGGTGTGGGCTTTTGATTGGTTGGCTTGCCCATGATAGGCAAGTCATTTACTATCTCTGAGAATTAGCTAGCCCTGGAAGGGACAGTCTCAAAAATACAGAATAAAAAGACATGGTTGATGGATGCTAGTGGGTTAGTGACTCTGTGCTGACTTCCTTTAGGTGGCATGAAAACTGTTTTGCTTTTTGTCTATCCATTGAGACTATTCAATAAACTTGAACCCATCAGAGAAATGAGTCTTATTCAAGCTCTTACTTACAGATACATGGGAAAAAAATCCTACAAGTCTTGGAAGAAGTTTTTGCCTGGCTACCACTCGGTACAATCATTGATGATGAAATCCTGATCATGCATGGTGGCATATCAGAGTCCACAGATCTGAATTTACTCCATCACATAGAGAGAAACAAAGTAAGAAGGCAGTTTACATGAATCTTGTCTCATAGATTTATAAGAGGATATATACCTCTTTTTTAATTTATTATTTTGTATTCATTTGTGTTTTCGTGGTTGTAACTCTGAAAAGATTGGTACAAATTTCAGAAAATCTATGATTGTATGGTAAAGAACTAAATGGGTAACTTCTATATATGGGAAATGTTTTTAAAAAAATTGATTTTAAAGAGGGAGGGAGAGAGACGGGGAGAGGGAGAGAGAGAGACCTTTGCTTGCCTCCCATATGTGTCCCAACTGGGGATTAAACCTATAGCCTAGGTATGTGCCCTGACTAGAATCAAACCCCAGACCTTCTGGTGCACTGGATGACACTTTAGCCAACAGAGCCATACTGACTAGATCTACATGGGAAATTTTTTAATTCATGATAAAAGTGGGAATATAAGGAAATGTTGGCATTTCATATCATTTCTAATAGTGAAAAAATCCTTATTTTTAAAAATTAAAATCTCTAATTAATATTATGCTAAAGTATACATTTACCACTTTAACTAATTTTAAGTGTACAGTTCAGTGGTATTAATTCACATTGTTGTGTAACCATCACCAAAATCACTACCATGAATTTCCCAAACTTTTAATCATCCCAAACTGAAATTATTTACATATTAACACTAACTTTACATTCCCCCCTCCCCTAGCCCCTTCTACTTTCTATCTCTATGAATTGACTACTCTAGGTATCTAATATAGGTGGAATCATACAGCACTTGATTTCTGAATTGATATGAGTTCCCTTATAATACTCCAAATGGCTCAGGGTAATATTTTTGGAAATATTTTTAAGCCTAAGTAATCATATTAAAAACAACAGAAACAGAGCAGGGGCATGTATAAAACCTCTGAGGGAAGTGGTTGTGTGGGTTCTGTAAAGCTGTCCCACCTATGTGAAAGGCTACTTCCGCTGGGCTTTGTAGAATGACTGGAGTTGTCTTCCTCCTGTACCAGCCAAGTCCCCAGACCAGAGGCTTAGGGGTACCATATGGGCATGAGGCCCGATAGCAGTTCTGGAGCCAGATGATATGGTCCTAGTAAAAAACAGAAACCCGTACCCCTCAGGACTGATAACCAATTTCTAACCAATCTAGGCAAGTGGAGTCCAGAGCTGGAATTTAATCTGATATAGATAAAAGTGTGACACCTATTCACTTTGAGTTTTTGGAGCACTTATACCATTATACACATATGAATGATAATATTGTTGCTAACTTCTCACCCTTTTAATTTCAGCTTAAATAGACCCACTTGCAAAGCCTTCCACAATGTGCAGGGTAGATCAATTCCCCTTTTATATGCTCCGAAGCCCTTGTATATATCCTTCATAACAGTTACTAAAATTAAATAACGAACTGTGGTACTGTTTGTGTACTATCTTCCCCTGCTTCTCTAGTTCCCTGATATAACCCCAGGATCCCCAGCAATTAAGATGTAGTAAGTACTTAACTCAATGTTAATTGAATCCTAAGAGATTTTAAGAGCAAAGTGGGCAAGCCTAAGACAAAACTGGATAAAACCTTTTTTACAACCTTTTTGCTAATTCTGTAGTGATTTTGCATAGCCTCATCCCCAACTTCACCCAGAGAGGATCATACTTCTTGATTTATACCTGTTGTCTTGGTGTAAGTGTTAATAGCACCTCCCTTTACCCTCAAAAGTATACCAGTTGCAATAAATTTTAAGGCCACCCTAAGTCTAAGGCATCTTTCTCATGGTATCAATAAATAGTCAAGTCAATAAGACGTTTCGATCAACATGAGATAGTGTTAGCATAATGAGGGGATATGATTCTAGCCAAGAGCAAGGGAACATGATGTTTTTGTCAGTCAAATATTGGCAAGCACATGGCAGGAATGAGACACTCCACCACCACCTGTCCTATGACAACAGAACTGATCAGCTGTGGCAGCCACTACCAATTGATCAGATTAAAGAATTTTCCTTTCCTGAGATTAGCCCGAGCAGGTAACCCCCTCTAGGGCTTTTTTAAAAAAAAATTACTGTAGTGTTTTTAAAATTTTTTTTTATTGCTTAAAGTATTACAAAGAGTATTATATATGTCTCCTTTTTTTTACCCCTCTTGACAATTCCCCACCCTCCCCTACCCCCCAGTGTCTTATATCCTTTGGTTATGCTTATATGCATGCATACAAGTCCTTCGGTTGATCTCTTACCCCCCCCCGCCCCCCAACCCCCCCCCCAGCCTTCCTGCTGTAGTTTGACAGTCTGTTTGAGGCTCCTCTGCCTCTGTATCTATTTTTGTTCATCAGTTTATAATGGTCCTTATTATCCATAAATGAGTGAGATCATGTGGTATTTTTCTTTCATTGACTGGCTTATTTCAATTAGCATAATGCTCTCCAGTTCCATCCATGCTGTTGCAAATGGTAAGAATTCCTTCCTTTTTACAGCAGTATAGTATTCCATTGTGTAGATGTACCACAGTTTTCTAATCCATTCATCTGCTGATGGGCACTTAGGCTGTTTCCAGATCTTTGCTATGGTAAATTGTGCTGCTATGAACATAGGGATGCATATATCCTTTCTGATTGGTGTTTCTGGTTTCTTGGGATATATTCCTAGAAGTGGGATCACTGGGTCAAATGGGAGTTCCATTTTTAACTTTTTGAGGAAACTCCATACTGTCTTCCATAGTGGCTGCACCAGTCTGCATTCCCACCAGCAGTGCATGAGTGTTCCCTTTTCTCCGCATCCTCTCCAGCACTTGTCGTTTGTTGATTTGTTGATGATAGCCATTCTGACAGGTGTGAGATGATTGTTGTTTTGATTTGCATGTCTCGGATGATTAGTGACTTTGAGCATGTTTTCATATGTCTCTTGGCTTTCTGAATGTCCTCTTTTGAAAAGTGTCTATTTGGGTCCTTTGCACACTTTTTGATTGGATTGTTTATCTTCCTTTTGTTAAGTTGTATGAGTTCCCTATAAATGTTGGAGATTAAACCCTTATCGGTGATAACATTGGCAAATATGTTCTCCCATGCAGTGGGCTTTCTTGTTGTTTTGTTGATGGTTTCTTTTGCTGTGCAGAAGCTTTTAATTTTGATGTAGTCCCATTTGTTTATTTTCTCTTTAGTTTCCAATGCCCTAGGAGCTGTATTGGTGAAGAAATTGCTTCGGCATATGTCTGAGATTTTGTTGCCTTTGGATTCCTCTAGTATTTTTATGGTTTCCTGTCACATTTAAGTCCTTTATCCATTCCTCTCTAGGGCTTTTTCAGGTATTAAGATCTCATGTCTATTGAATGCCCATTACTATCTCTAAATTGAGAGCCACCTTGATCTAGTAAATACCATGAAGTTCTGACATCACACAGGTATAGCTGGCTTTTCATCCTGCTTCTGCCACTCCCTGACTGGGTGACTGGCAAGGAACCAAAGTTGTCTAGGTCTCAGTTTCCATACCTATACATTGAAGCTAAAAATACCTACCATATTGAATTATTAGGATTAAATATAATTACCTAGATGAAGAAAACATCATAGAGTAAGCTCTGAACATAGAGCTCTCTTCTCCAACTCTTTCCTTTTTTTCCTGATACTTGGGACTAAGGTTTGAATTTCAGTCATGAAGACAGACTCTGGGTAGAGGTTTCTGGACCAGGAATTTTCCCAGGATACCTCAAATTTCATACCATTTAAGGATCATTGTTCTGCCAACTCATAAGATGGACTTTAAAGATAAAAATTTGACTTACATAGTTTTTGTAGCTTCTACTCTCCTAGAGTGAGGTTTACCTGGCAGCACATAGTTGTATTAAATATAATTGAGCTGTAATAAAAGTAGTAGGTTCAAGCCTTTAGAACTCTACCAGATGGGATACAAAAGTAGATTTTGAAGTCCAATTTTATTTATTTTTAATTTAAAAAAATTGATTTGAGAAAGAGGAAGGGAGAGGGAGGGAGGGAAAGGGGAGAAAGAGAGAAAGAGAGAGAAACATCAGTCTATTGTTCCACTCACCCATGCATTCATTGGTTTGCCTCCTGCAACTGGGGATTAAACCTCTAAGCTTGGTACATGGGGGCAAGGCTCCAACCAACTGAGCGACCTGGCTAGAGCCTCAAGTCCAAATTTATAACCCCTACTTTTCCATCCCTTAGGACCTTCCAAGTGTAGGGTGACCATACTTCCTGGTTTACACTTGTTGTGGTATAACTGTTAGTAGGGGAGGGGGAGGGTTGGGGGAACCTGATGACAACCTCCATTCTAGGTTCATTAAAGGAATTTTGTAAGGTGGGCAGTTTGGGAGGATGGGTCAGTGCAGAGGGATGGAGAAGGAATACTCTGTAAGATTAAGATTCTAGTATTCTTCAAACTCCCTGGCAGGGGATGGGGGAAGGGATGGTTAGGAGGTCCTCCAGGAGAAAATGATGTTGTGGTACCTTAGGAAGGGGGTGGGGCAAAGTATCCTGATCCCTATTGGCCATGAAAACAGAAGAGCCACACGTACCTAAGAGACCATGTGGACTTGCCCAATGAGTTTATCAGAAATTGTGTGGACCCAAGTCCAGAGTGTCCTCCCAGAATATTCTGCTCTGCATAAGACCTGGGGACATTTGCTGGGGAAAGGGGATGAGGAGGGTAGGTTGTGAACTTACCAATAATAGCTGAGATTGAATTTCCAACAATCTCAATGAGACAGCACCTCAGAATAAGATTCAATTTTATTTTTGAAAAACAAAGGTAAGATTTCATATACACCCTAGTTTATAGAAGAAACTAAGAACCTACCACAGAGAATTGTCTATCACTTAACTAAGGCCACCAATATAACAGAAGTAGTTTTAAAAATTATTTTGTATAAGGGTAGGGTGCTATAAAGAAACAAGTGTAAAATTACAGTCTCAAGTTATGTAAGGGAATGTAGAAGGGATTATAGTAATTGGCATACTATCAGAAAGATATTTTATTTTCCAAAGAAATGCATCACTTTATTAGTAGGATTAGAGAACAGCAGCAATTGCTGGCAGGTCAGATTGAGACCACATTGCATTTAAGTTGAAGGGCTTCCAAAGTTTTCAGCTTATGTCCCCTTTGAGAACTTTCCTGGACATAAATGTACTTTCTCGCATTTCTCCAGGAAAACACAACAAAATGAAAAGCAGCCACTTTTGAAGTATTTCTGAAATCAAAGCCTATTGGGTCCTCTCTTAGCCCCATCTATACTAATAAAAGGGTAATATGCTAATTTAAAACCAGAACTTCCTTCCGGAAAGAGCAACAGTGGCAGGGAGCCGAGGAAGAGTTGTTTAGAGTCAATCCATGCACGACAGGGAAGGGAGTTTACGGGCCGATACGGT